TTTGATAATTTAGACTAAACAGTACAATGTCAGGGAGTACCGCCCTAAAAATAGTTCCTACATACTCCTAAGCATAATTTCTAAAACTGCCCAGTGTTCCTGGGACCTACTGCAAAGTCAAATAACTCTGAATAAGGCATGGAAACAAATACATCATTTTCTTCTAGCTTTGCTCGTAGCTGCTAGCATATTTCATGCAGAATAATTAAAAGGAATTCTTTTCTCCAGGAACTACTTGTACCACATGAAAGCTATGTAAAGATTGTTCTGGTTAGTAGTTTCTCCATGCTGTTGAGATTCCTCCAGATGGTATGAACTAGTATCTGAGGCTGGTCCCGCAAATACCAGTCAGACCAATGCCAATTTATCAGCCATGTCATACTGATGTCAGTGCTAATAGGGAGCACTGCCTCTTCTCCTGAAGATGCCCACTGCCTTTATCCATCAGCTGCTGTACTTACACTGTCGTAATCAGGGAGATGATATAACGCAATGGCTTGAACGCACAGGTCGGGAATACATGAAATATAAAAATCTTCAGAGGTATAGCTGCCATTTCCCTTTGTCAGTTCTAGAACATTCCTCGTCTCCTCCTATTTAGCATTCCTCTCCTTAAGACAACCGCACAGATAGCTTTTATAGTAAAGATGGTGGTTCTTCAACAAGTGGATCCTAAATGGGTCCTATTAAACCAAATATAACTTTGATAAAAACAATAACCATGATTGTGCACGGGAGAAACGAGTCAGTCTCAGATTGTCTTTTCCTCTGTGCCATAGGATGGATGTGTAGTGGTTAGAAAAAACATGAAAACAGTTCTTTTAAGTGAACCATATTCATTAACATGGTAGCAATTCCCTCCCCTCTCTGGAGAGGGTATACGTGGCAGAAACAATAATCCTCAGTTCTAATGATCATGGGTTAAGTGCCTCTTGATGTTCCGTGTTTTCACAATACATCTGTGGATAGTAATAGACTTAATCTAGAGAGGTTTGGCCCTTTGGCAAATGGTCTCCACAGAGAGCAAACAGAACCAGGGCACTTAAATAACACCACAGTCATTAATGATATGATTATGGGAGGTGATAATGCAACAAGAATGACTCTCAGCAGCTTCCAGGAGTTATGACTCATGGGAACAGAGCCTATTAGAAAAGAGGCACCCCATTTCTATTTCACACTGTTGCTATGATGTATAATATTTTTAAAGAGATGAAAAAAAAACCACAAGACAACAGAGAAAAAGCTATTTTAACATAAATAAGTTACTCTCAACAGGCTTTGTGGTTTAAAGGACTTGTGGTAATTGAGTTCCAGAGCCACAAAAGCAGTTCTCAAGTCTGGTCATCTCATCACCCTACATTATACACCATGATGTCAACAAATTCAGAGAGGCAGAAGGAACAGACTATGTATGTCTGGCAAAAGAGATCACGTGCCAGTGCATAATTTTTATAGGGAACCATACATTAAGGTTGTTTTTTTTAAGCTGGCCATTTTCCTCAAGGAAGTTTTGCACAAAGCCACTGAGCCCAAAGCCTTATTTCATTACAATTCTTTTTACTGCTGAGATTTTTTTTTTAGCACCTCCCCTGCATAGTTATTCAAAATCGATGGCCAAAATGCCAGATAACTTTCATCTAGGCATTGAAATATGACAATTGAAATCATATGATTAATCATGCCAGTTTATGTAATCCCACTTTCGTATTCTTTTCTCCTAGTCATTAAACTGAACTTCCACTTTCATTCTAGTGATTTTGTTTTCATGTTCTAAATAATTACTCTTTCTCCTTAGCATTCATATCGTTTTGATATCAAATCACTGTTTAAATAGGGATCTTAGAAAAGACATAGCAGATTAGAGACACAGAGATGCTTTCATGTTTCCCCTCGGTTACTGTAAACTCATGCAATTTCTTTTTTTAAAAAACAAACAAAACCCTCCAGGCCACTACTAATTTGTGTTGCACTTGTCTCGACTCCCTCCAGTGTCACTCTCTTGTTTTATGAGATTGCCTCCTGGGGAACACACTGAAGTTCAAAGCCAGGGAATGTTCCCCCTGTAGTCAATGCAAGGATATATGCCAGGAGGAGGATGTGAATTTCTACCTCTAGTATAAGCCTTGTATGGATTAAAGCATTTAAAAAGTGGAGCCTTGTGTGTCGGTCCCCAAGTCTTATCCCCAGATACCTTCCTAGGTCAACTAATCCAGCTTTCCTCAGGGCATCTGGGACACAGGTAGTAGCTGCTACTGAGAGTATCAGTTATTCTAATCCATTTTGCTCGTATTATCTAATGAAACTTGGTATCTTCATAATTTAAACAGAAAGGAATTTCCCTCTTCCTCACCAGCTCAGACCAGGAACTGTTACTAGACCTCAAAGGCAGTACATTTTGCCACTGAAAAAGGAAGTTAGGCAGCCAAGCAGCAAGTCTTTTATTCTCTCATTCCACTGTGTCACAGAGCTAAAAACAGTTTGCATCCAAAATTATCTGTGGTTCAGGGCTTCATGTTAGAAAGAACATGACAAATTATACTGGGGCTTGCACAGATGATGCCTCATAGACAGGGGTATTATCTATGGAAAAGAAGTCATGTACCTCATCAGGGTTCTGCTCGGTGGAGTTCATTAGCTCATTCCCACCATCGCAGTGCCTAAGACAGGAAGGAGGATGACGTTCTTTGCTCCACTCCAGTTCTTTGTTCTCAAGAATGACAAAAACTCCCTGTGGAGCTTAATATCAGCCTTATCCTAAGAATGCAAGGGTCTGGGAAAAGCAAGTTCAAGAAGAGTCAGTGAATGCACCACAAAAAGCGCAATGGGAATGAGAATCTGAGGAAGAATGTCCAAGTGATAATGCTTCTAAATGAAGGAGTGAAGATAGAAAGGCAAGACTCTCACCATAAATCAATACCGTGTTTGTCCTTTGGTTCATCTGACTTTAATTTCTGCCCTGAGATCTTACACTCTGGGTAATAAGGCCCCCACCCCATCACAGTCTGAAGTTCTCAGACTCTCCTGGATCACGCAGTGTTTGTCAGTGCTTTACCTGCTTGTTCTCAAAAACTGCTGAAAACTCATTCTGCTGCTTTAGAAAGAATAATGGCAGAGGACAGCCATGAACAGAACAAGAGCCTCATCAGAGCAGGAACCAAAACGACAAAGCTTTTTCTGAAACAGCCACACAGCAACAACACTCCAGCAGCCATACATAAAGCAAAGACTTCCACTGTCTTCTGAAGCACGGACATACTTTCCTCCAGAGACTAATACTAAAAGCAAAAACAAATAGACCTGGATTGCCTTGCATACCTCCTGGGTGGCCTGCTATCTGGTTCACAGCTAGCCCCATTACTTGGGTTCGGCATAGAAAAACAAAACTCCTTTTCTGTTCTATCACGGAGGGAATACTTGTCACTCTTGGTGCCAGTCTCATACCTACAGAATCAGGACAGGCCTCTATATTTGCAAAGCCACATAATAATTTCTAAAAGCAATACATTTAGTCCAGCTTGGGTGTAATCAGAGATAGAAAACTACAGGCTGACTCTCAGAGAACACTCCTAACAGCGAGCTCATCAGAGTTAGACTGTTTTAAGAGAAGTAGAGGAAGCTCACCATATGTGCCATTTGAAACAAAAAAGGGCAACACTGTTGGGAGAAAAGCATTAGTCAAGAGATGGGTTTGCTGGCTTAACAGAAGTTAGGCTTGGAAAAATTGTATTCATGAATCATTTTCCAAGGACTGGATGGGAATGTTCTCCCACACCTTCAAATCCAAGACCAGGAGAATTTTGGTAGATGAGATATAAAATAAATCAACACAGCATAGAGCATAGAATTTCAGGGGACAGCACTGTAGCCTTTCAGGCAATATCACAGAACTGGAGGCTGAACGCTAACCCTGGCTTTATTCTTTCTAAGGTGTGTCTAAAGCCAGGAGCTTTCTCTGATAGCTGTCCTTCTGTGAAATTGGTGCAAGCCAGATGAATATGCCAGTGCTAAGAAATGACTCAAACTTTTATAAATCAGTTTACTTAAAGGGAAAGCTACTGTCTTTTCTTCCAAACTCCTGCCCCCTGCAGCTAAGGCTTCATAAAAGGCTGGTTGCGAAGAAAAAAAATATTTTATTTTTTACTTTAAAAGATGGACTCTGCTTTTATTAAAGACTTGCTCCAGGGTGCATATCATGTGGTGATAACTGCTTTTGTCTTCTGTTCTAAGTAACAAACAATATTATTCTTAAGAAAGAAAAATCTCGACATTATATCAAACCAAGACTATCCTGCACACCCAGCATATATCAAATGATTAACTGTTGTCTATTATTGCCTTCTACAGCTCAGTTACAAGCAGAACCAAAGGCCTAACTCAACTGCGTACAAACATTAGCTAGAGCTTGATAAGCACAGCAATGGCCGTACATGAACTGGACAAATCATTATGCCTGTTTAACAGTGAAAATCACTCTGCAAAGAAACGAGACATTCTCAAGCAGTCAAAACTTGCTTTGTAAAATCCCGTTAAACTGCAGCAGATTAGAAAGAGTGGGGCCCCAAGCTGCAAACTTCATTTGGTCAAAGCCACACAAAGAAATATTTCTTTGGTTTTACAGAAATGACCAATGAAAAAACTCTCACAATAGCACATCGCCCACAGAAGCCTAAAGAAAAAATATTAAAATGTAATTTCAAAAATTGATGCCAAATTGAAGCTGCTGCGCATATACACTCTGTTTCTCACCATCAGTGACCTTTGATGCAGTAAATATTTTGGGTTTTGTATACAAATTACTTATGACAATGTAATATTGGAGATTGCAGTGTTAAAGAAATCTGAAGGAAGAGGATGGAAACACCCAGTAGAAGTAAACATGCAAAAATCAGCAGACTGAAATACACATATTTCTTTGAAGTGACATTGCTTACTGCACACCTACAGGAAAGTGATGAATCACTCTCCAGACAAAAGTGAAAATGTACCTATTCCCTTACCTCGTAACCTTCAGTCTTCTTTTGGCACCATTTCAACAGAGCATTCCTCTTTGAACCTCCATACTCCCGAGCCAGGGCTGCCAGTGGGTCCTTTCTCTCCACACTAAACCATGGAAGAATAAGGGAGAAGATGATAAATATGCTTGAAGTCTCTTATTTTTTACCAGTGTGTAAATACTATCTGTATGGCAAAGCAGAATGGCAGCACAGAACCTAAATGCAAACCAAGCCATAATAGCTTTCAGAGCTGGCATTTGCCTTTAGATGAGACAAATTCAGCTGGTGTCACTGCATACAAAGAGCTGAAAAAACAGCAGCCTATGGATATTTGATGGCGTGTGTTAACTCAGCGTTTCTGATATTATTTTCATCAGCTTTACTCATAATATTTTCAAGTAACCTCTTTGCTTTACATATTGAAAACTAGGATTTAGGGTGTAGAATTGAAAGAAACTACCTAAAGAATCTGTAACAGCAAATTCACATCCAATTGAGCTGCTGCAGAACAAGTTCTGGAATAAAATGAAAAATCTGGAAGCTGTATTGCAGTCAAAGCCTCGAGAACAGTTAAAGGCCAACAATCAGAACACTTGCATTGTCTCCACCCTACAGCTGCTACTGTTAGAAATAATGGCGGAGATCAGAGGAAAATATATGTTTTTCCTCAAGACAGAAGAAAATTGTGTGTCCAGCTTTCCCTCAGACCTCAAACTTTTTAGTTTTTAACTCACCATAACATGCAAAGCTACAGTGAGATAATGAGGATTGACCACTCGTACACATGATGGAATTCTTGTATACAACTTAGTGGCTCCTGAAAGCTTGCTATCCTCATTTTGTCATAATCACTCATCTTGCAGATAATTGTGGTTATTATAATCTGAATTTTGATATTTTGATCTGACACAGCCTGGTAATTCTGAACCGGACAGACAAGCCAGCAGAGTTTCCACTGGAGACAGGGGTCCACCAGATTAAAACATTCATCTTGGTGCCAGGTAATGCCATCAATCTTTCCAGTATGCTGTTTTTCCCAGGAAACTGAGTTAGTACCTGAGTTTGCTTTGGGGTTTCAAGCTGCTGGGGGTAGAGGTAAGCATTCTGCTGCTGAAGGCCATGGGGGGTTTGCTCAGGGATTCCAGGGAAGGGCTTTTACGGAGGAAATGGTCTGGTTTCAGCTCATCATTTCTCCCCTTCAGAAGGTCTGTGGGAATTAAAAAAGAAAAAAAAAAAAAAAAAAGCTGTCAGTTTGCAGTCTGAGGAATTTGATTAATCACTGTCCTGCCACCCAGCACACAATATGTAGTCTGTTGTTTTGATTCTAAACAAATGTACTCATTTGTTCATTAAACACACATGGGGCTAGGAAACCTTGAGCAGATTAGAGGTGATCATAACAAGGAATGGCTTTGATGATTTCAACAGTACAGACTGCCTGGTTTCCTGTGATTGATACTCCTGCTGGGGGGTAGGGGCCTCAGGTGAATGAGGGGAAATACCAAAATCTACAGTCTTAAAGGTTCAAAAGCTAATCGCCAGATATCTTCACCAGATGACTGACCAGCCCTAGTACAATAATTTCTTTTCTGCCACTAGCAGACTTGTAACAAGAAAGCCTCTTGTCTCCTGAATACAACCCAGCTGAAGGCAGCAGTAAAAGGCACTTACTATCACATGATGCTCGGCATCCGATCTGACAGAACTTTGGGAAGTCTCAATATATTCACAGCAGATTTATCTATATTTTTGTTACACATATTATGTATTTTTATAGAATATATTTTAGGATGTATTTTTATATGTATATAAATAAATAAATAAAATAAACAAAATTAGTAGCCATAGAATCCAATGTTGATAGCTTTTTGAAGAGAAGCCAAAGAGATCATAGAAATCAAATTATCTCCCCATGCATATCAATCATGAGGTAGAGCAATGTATAACACAGGGAAAGGTGGCTGCTTCTTTTCTGTAAACAAACTGTCAAATATATATTTATATGTATATAAATAAATAAATAAAATAAACAAAATTAGTAGCCATAGAATCCAATGTTGATAGCTTTTTGAAGAGAAGCCAAAGAGATCATAGAAATCAAATTATCTCCCCATGCATATCAATCATGAGGTAGAGCAATGTATAACACAGGGAAAGGTGGCTGCTTCTTTTCTGTAAACAAACTGTCAAAAAGCCAAGATCTATGGCCAGCACATTACGAGCTGTTATCAGAAATTAATTTAATGTGGAACACAACTTTTCCTCCTCCTTTTCAGTTACCTCCTATATTAATTATCAGTTAATGCCATATCACCTAGAGGTGTGAACTCCTTCTTATCTCAGCTTCAGCAAAGGCTACTATCACTGAATCAGCCCTAAACTTCTTTTCAGCAGTAACTGGGGTGTGTGTATCAGCAGTTGTCAGATGAACACATCCTTCCAACAGGCATGCAGCTGCCCTTGCTTTGACTCCTGAATTTCACAAGACTAAATCAGCATTTGTAGCTGCTGAGAGCTATAGGCATTTCTGCACCTTCTTTCCATGGCATAAACAGCTAGTAAGTTCCTATCTATTAAGAAGTCCAGATGGAAAAGGACAGAATCCAGTCCCAGGAGATCGTCTCCTTTCCAGCAACTTGGCTGTTGGATTGCATACACCTTGCCAGTCAGGGTCATCCTTCCTTCCACTCACCTGTCTCTTCTTTGTGTGCACCATGAATCCATAACAAACAAGAAATAGCACACAGCATACTTTTTAAAAGTCTTTTTGTTTGTTTTCCACTATATATTCCAAATGTGTATGATTCTCCTAGCTCCTCATTAGGTTGGATTTATGGGGAATTGCCTCAAATTTAAATAGCCACACCAGTCAGACAGGCATCCAATGTATGATTCTTGGGACGGTTTTAAACTTAAGAATATTCTGCTTAGAGAAACAGATCTGCCGCAAAAGGCATATCAGTAAACAAAATCTGAACATTCTGAAGAGGAATGGAGGTTTCTCACTGGTTTATAAGGATAGCAAAAAACAAAAAAAAAGCAAGCACTGTTGAAGTGTCATTAACATAATTGGACTGGTTAATGGCATAGTCCAATTAGGAAGTGCTCTGCCAATCATTCAGGATGCGTTCATGCATAATACAGAAAAAGGAAGGAGAAGGAAGGATCCCAGATAGGAATAAAGGCTACTGGAAGCATCTAGCTGGAAAGAAAAGAGGGAGAAGATGAGGGCATATTAGGAATCATTTGGAGAGAGAAACAGGATAATAATCATATGAAAAATATGCAACATGATTAAGGAAAATCACATTCTGTTAGCACTATCTGTTTGCACTATTTAAAGAAACTTTACGGTTACTGGCTTGAATGATACAGTAGTGCCTGAAGTGGTGCAAGTTAACAGTATCCAGTTTTGTACTTTGAGTCTCACTTGCATGAGTAATATACTTCCTTTGACTTATTTCTGGCTGCTAGAAACTCCAGGACAGAACCAGTAAACCTCTGATTCTAAATTAAAAGATCATAGCCAAAGATCGGCTCTCTCTGCAAAGTAGGCCATTCTCCTCTCCAGCGATGTAACACTTGGGTCATGTTAAGGACATCACAGAACCCTGCTGTGATACCGGTCAGATGGAATCAGCCAGAAGATTATTATTATGGAGACTACTTCACTCTGAGTTTCCTTGGGGATATTTTTTAATTCAGTGTTGTTTGCATAGGGCTTGGATCAACTCCTTCTAGGATTATTTAGATTGGAACCAGAGCTATTACAACTTTATAGTGAGTAAGCCTTTGCTATGGATTATTGGAACTAAATTAAATCCAGGTACAAAGACAAGCCGTAAATACAGGAACTTGTTAGATAAGCAACCACAAATTTTTACCATACAATGGCTAATAAAATATCTGTTGATTTCAACAGATTTTCACAGAACAATTGTCTATGAGTAATAACAGTAATTACCCATGGCCTGAAGCGGGATATTTATTATTAAGGACTGGCATTATATTACACAGTTGACAGATTACTTGACTCTACAGTAAACTGGTAGAGATTAAAAAGGTCTTATGTTCTGTTTAGGATCACTCTACACGCTCATGCAAGACATCTTCTGAAAACCAACTGATACAAATAAGTAAACTCAGTCTGTTCCACTGATAACTTCTGCTTGCTTAACATTTACTCCTACAGGAGAAGCCAGTAGCACAGACAAGATGTTATTTGTTTATGCTGCCATCTACCCTATAACCTGCTTTGCTGTTCAGATCCAGTGTCTCTTCATCTTTGAATGATGGAAGGGGAAGCTTAGCAGATTATCTGAAGAGTTTAAAAATGAAGACAGGTTCTAACTTCTCTCCTGTACTAGCAAACTATTGCAGAAAATCCAGTCCACCAATGAAGAAGTTGTGACCGATTTTTTTTGTCCCTCCCTGCAGTTTCACTAAGGTTTCACTACAGGAATATAATATTTCATCTGCCCTTAAAAATTCAATAATCTGTTGTTACTAGCTTTGATTCCAATGCAACAACTACATTCAGGAGTAGATAATCAAAATAAAGGGCCCTAGAGAAAATGGGAAACAAACACTGGTAGAAAAGAATATTAAATGACAAGAGAACAAAAGCAAAGTGTGAAATAAAAACAAACACAGCTCTTGAGAACTCTCAGAACGAACTATTTCGAGCCCAAATATGACTGCTCCTAAAACAGTCACATCGGTATCTGAAATGTTTGATGTATTTCAAATGAAGCTCAATTTAAAAACAAATAAACCCTCAAAAGACAGTGCTCTGGACTTGTTCCAGATACATACATGTTGAACAAAATCCAATTCTCTCCAGTTCCACAGCATGGATTAGAGAGGTGCCATGGATACTTTGGAATAAAGAAGGCAAGTTTGTGTTGGCAAACCATAATAAATCAGATATTTTTTAGTTTTCTAAGGCTATGATCAAAATGGGAATGGAAACATGACAAAATTAATAAGCTCTCTAAAACAAAGACTCTGAAGACACTTTTTCATGTTTCCTTTGACCATATGAGAAGAGGAAAAACGGCCCAGGCGGAGGCCAACAGTTAATGACAAGTTTTTGCTAGTAAAAAGAGGCAACATTTGTACGTTTACTGCAACTTACCTGCAAGAGGGAGGTCTGAAAGATCGGTATGTCTGGCAACGCTCTTGCTGGCTGGCTTGGCATTATTATAAACAGAATGTCTCTGTGAAACAAACGTACAAAAGATAATTAAAAAAATATTAGCCATCATGCTTCAATAAGCGAGCAAAAAGAAGAGATGTTTCTGCTATCTCAAGATCACAAAGCAGGTGGAGGGACACAGAAACCTTTCAACAAGGTATCAGCTGTACCTAGAGCTGGATAAATGGTTGTGAAAAATAAAAGGACAAAGGGACAATATTTTTAGCTGCTAATATATTGGTTCCCGAACTATTTCACATTTCTATTTGCACCATTTTTTCTCTTGCCAAACATAATCTAGTGTCACAAACCCAAAGAAAGAATGCCAGTTCCTAACCCTGCCTCTGTCCCCACCCCGAATCATAAGTCAGAAGGATTCTTGTCTCTGCAGCTCCAGCACCAGTTTTCAGCATTAATACCCCCTCAGCCAGGCATTAACAGAAGGTTCCCAGATCTCTGTTTAATCCCATTCGTTAAACTTCCTTTGCCAATTCTTTGAAGGAAATGCGCTCACACATTTGTTAAATAATCTTTCAAAGTCACCTCATTCTTCAGAACACTCACCTAAACAACCTAGCCTCGCAACTGTTTTTTACCTAGATTCCGAGGGGAAGATCCTGTTGTAAGTCCAGCGACCACCCAGTCAAAAAAACATACAATGGCTTCTCTAGCCTAGAAAGGTTAGCAGTCTGATGGTATGCCACCTTCAGCACATGCAGAAATCAAGCAGCACAGTGCATTTACTTCTCCATCGTTCACAAAAGCAGTATTTCTAATAACATCGCACCACAGATTCGAAAATTGCTAACGGAAAGTCAAGTAACTGGTGCAGTGACATAAAAAGTACTACATTCCAGAGCAATTATGCTTCAGTAGCAAAAAAACCAAACTGTAAGAGCGCTTCATTCAGCACTGAATGAACCGACTGGATAACCGGGAGCATGCATCTTAGAAACTTATTATCCCTTGTCTCTCAGCTCACATGCCAACTACCTGGTTTAGTACGATGTTTCTTGTAACTCACTCCCAACAATCAAAACCTATTTTCTGGTCAACAGCGATTAAAGTTCAGAATTGTATTCTGAAGAGTTCACATCCGTCCACTGAGACCTCTAAGCTGAAGTCAAAGACAAACTCACTTTGATCCTTTTAGTACTACAGCATTTGATGTTTCACAGCAAATAAACAGATGAGTTTCCCCTTCCCCCTGTCAACATATGCATGTTGGCATGCTGAAGCTGTGTCATGCTGTAGCAAACACTGCATCTACCCATTTTAAAACTGCAAGGATAGAAAGAGCTCTTTGTACCTGCATGGGGGAAACAGCAGCTGCTGGGGCTGTCCTCACTGGAATTCCACTTAGAGGGCTCCTGGGGACCTTGTGAACTGTGATATTTTGTCCGGTGCTACCTGCAAGGGAAAAAATGTGGAAACATTTGCATTTCAAACCCAACTATCTCCCTCTTGTCAGAACAGGGAACCACTAGTGTAGTGACATTCCACAGAGAGTATTTATGTACCAAGCACTGACAGAAAATATCCATTAAGAAGCAAGAAGCAGCACAAAATGGCAAAAATTACCTGCTCACTGCTAGAAAAATTTTTTACTACAAAATAGTGTTCAAATACCTGAGCATCCTAAGTCAAATGATTTTATCAGCGACTTCACAGTGGCTGCAGATTCTGATGGTGTGGGAGATGCTCTGCTAATGCAGACTCCTTGCCAGCGGTTGGTTGTATCTGCCTCTAGAGATTCTACCTCTTCAGCTGTCAGCCTGCAAAGCAGAAACCAGATCAAAGTCAGGGGCAACAGGAAGTACAAGAAGAGATTAAAGGTCTTTATATGTAGTAAGGCAAATCCCACGACGCGCATCTTTTATTGTAATGCCCAGAACATGGACCACTCATTAGAATGTTCATGTTCTTTTCTTGGAGTGCCTGGCAAACATTAAATCATTGAGTCCAACAAGCTTTTCTGTGTTGTTTACCATATCATCTCCATTTCCCATCCTCACACAGGATGGAGGATTATCATAGAAAAAAGCAGTTTGATGAGACTTGTGAGTAATCATCGATAATTACCTGAAGATGGGCTTTCAATACAGCACAGGGGCGAAGGGGCTACTGTGGTCCTCAGTGTATAATGAGGAAAGTAACCAAAGAGAAAGATGTTATTTTCACTCTACGTTTTTAATTGGCGTGACCACTGCTGGAGTAACTGTTACCAGTTAAAATGCCATAATTGAAAATAAAATAAGTAATTGGACAGGGTTCAGATAAGAGCCATAAAAATTAAACCAGAAAATATACTTCATAATGAAAAATCAACTCTTGGAAACTGAACTCTTACAGCTTATCAACAAGGACATCTGCTGAACAAGTAAACATTCAATCACAATCCATAAGCAGTTATATGGGGAATAAAACTGATAAGTGCTTCATCCTAGCAGATACAAGAATACCAAAATTCAATGTCTGAAATGAAGATAGACAAATTCAAAACAGAAATAAGGCTCACATTTTAACAGGAAGGATCATTAAGTTACTCCATTGAAAAGAAATTTTGAAGTCAAGATTAGGTGCTGGACTTACAGGAATCAGTACAGGGAAGTCCACAGCTGTGTTAAACAGCAAACGTAATCATACAGTGTAAGTGTTGCTTCTAGTCGTGCGTTTTATGGATCTGGCTGACATTGCTTAGCACTGACACTGTACTTACCTGGTAGCTCTCAGGTAGACTTCGAGTGTAATTACCTAGCTTTAACTTAGGAAAGCTGCATTTAGATAACAAAGTCTGGTCACGTAAAAAGAGAGTATTTATACGTTACTTTCCTGATCTAGCTGCTTAAGAAATGCATGCTGGAGCATCACCACTTTTCCCTACTTTTAAGTACGGTAGGCACCAAGAGCTACATGAACACAAAACCAGAAATTATTTCACAAGAAGGCTGAAGGACTCCATCCAGAAAGTGTCTATTGGGTTGAACAGCTCCTGTTGAGCTAAAAATAGAAGTCAGAGTTGTCTTCTTTCCATTTTAGCATCACAGTCTACAAAATGCAAGGGGCTAAAGGGTGTCAGTGAATATTGAAGACAATAAGAGTGACTCATGTTTCTATTTTCGGCAGAGCTTAAGGAGGTAGTGTCTTTAAGCAAACATTGGCTATTTCTTTGCTAATTCATTCAAGCTCCTTGTGTGCCAGGGGAGCCTGCAGAGGCAGATGGCTAGAGAAAAAGCCATTTCAGTTCCATTCTCTATTTAATCCCATGAGGAAGAAAGGCAGATTGGGTAAGATTCACCGAGCTCTGAGGAAGCCAGTGTTTTGCTGACTAAGTTCTACCCTTCACTTTTTCTTCTGTGGCTTCATCAAGCCTGAACAACAAATCCACAGGTGATAACATCTCCACTTTAGTTATATGAAAACACAAAAGGTAAAGGAGTCCTGCTTCTAGTAAATTATGGAGGAAGGATAGATTTCTGCCTCAAGATACCAAGCCACTCAATGCAATCCATTGCACTTTCAAGAATTAAATAGGCCACTATGCAAAAGTTCTGTCTAGTTATCCAGGTAACGAGGGCATCCACAAGGTTTGTGGAGTATTATCAGAATAAGAAAGAAATAGTAAATGTCTGTAGGCCAACTGCCAAATCTTGAGAATAAAGCAAGCCAGAGGTACGCTCCAGGCAGCCATCACTTCATTGGTTAGGATTTAACTCTGAGAACAGTTCAAACCTCACAGACTAGTCTCCTCAGTCTAGCCTTTGATTGCAAAAGGATGCAAACATGTTAAATAAAGTTAGAGTAATAGACCAGCCCCTATGCCATGCCTCAGAAAAGTCCATTAAGAAATCACATGCCATTATTCTGTCATTGTACAGAGTAATTATGAAGATTCAAGTGCTGGAGCTACTACAGATTCCAATTTTGTTAGGATGCTTCCTGTAATTTTAAGTTTGTATATTTGTAATAGGCTTCTAATGCACCCTGAAACAACCTCCTAGGTTAAATGCAATCACGTCAGAAAACTGAAGCCTCACATACTGCAAACCTTGGCATGAAAGGTAGGAAGAATAGTGCTGAGACCTATTTGCTTCTACTAAAATCACACGTGCCAGCCAACAAGCAATGGAGAGTTATGGAACTTGGTGAGTACCTTCCATTTTTAAAGAGAAAAATCTGTATGATAAGGGGATGCATGTATGTGTACATATATGGGTTTCTTAATAGAGAAGCAAAAGAGTAATAGCTTAACTTGCAGTAGCAAGCTAATTCAGGAGGACAGTGTAGGAGAACATGACTTGGAAAGATTAATGACAAGCCATAAATTCAAACCAAAAATTACTCCTTGTGCACAGAGTTTATTTAGCTTAGGACATCCAAGATGACTAAGCAAGCTCTGCTACAAAAAGGATGGATTTGAGCAAAATGTCATCTACTGCTGTATGCTTGCCTTGAAACAAGAATGAATGATTTACACAGATAAATGCTGCAAGTGCAGCTGGCTTAAGTGGAGCAGCTCCAGGAGGAAGCAGAGCACTTTAGCCACAAAGGAATTAAAGTGTCCAGAGTCCTTTTCACAAAAACACTGCCTAGTTTCATTCATTCATTGGTAAAAGAAGTAGATGTAGCGAGCTTTTCTCTAATGGCAAGAGTCAGTCTCCCTGTTTTCTAGATTTGGAATACGTGGACAACAGACCACCAAAGCACAAGTCTTTCTGTGCTTAATGTATAGATTTTGGCAACAGCAGCCTTCATGTGTTTTTGAAATTTCTAAACTGCTCCCATGACCTCTTCATTACATGTGGCCTAGGACCACAGAACCATATTTTCAGAAATAATTACTCTGCAATCTAGTCTTTGACACAGTTCCTGTCATTGTTGTGAATCCTCCTGAACTCCAAGGGACACAAAGAGACACACAGCTACTGATGCACAGAACAGAAGAGAGGCCAAGGGCAGGCAGCAGACAATTCCAGACACTTAAACATTTATTTGGCACTTCAATATGCATTTCTTAAACATAAAAACCAACATTCAACAGCTGCCAGCACAGAAAAGAAAGGCAACACAAGTGTGCATATATGCATACACTCCAGTAGCACGGCACAAAGGTGAAGGCCATGCCAAAGCCAGGACATCCTGCAGAATTCTCTGCTAGTTCAGCCTGCTCTGAGACCAGGCCCTTGCTAGGTCTTCACATCCAGGAGGAAAGGACGGGAATCCCACAGCCAAAACATGAAACTCCAGTCCTGGAACGAATCCTGATGATCTCCTGGTAGAGATGGTGACTTCCGAGTTTGTCCTTAGCATCGAAGTAAAGCTCTCTCCAGGTGTCTCCAGTTGCAAAGCTGAACTTCAGCAAGTTCTCCCTGATCATATACTTCACCTGAGTTAAGGGCATGAGAAAGACTCCTTTCTGAAAGGATATTTACTAGGGGCTTGATATATTAATTTCTTTTCCTTCTGATTTCTCCATCTGCAATTCTCACAGCCGGGACAAACCTCATGTGGGACATTCTCTGTGAAAGTCATAGCGGGACATGCTCCTTGGGCACCACCCTGCTTCCTAACACACACTGAGTCAGACATGCCACCCAGTGGCAAGTGCCTTGTCAATGCAATTATTAAAAATCTGAAACCATCGAAGCAGCTGAAACCAAATAACTAACTTCATCTTTCTATTCCGTTTTCCTGCTGGATTTCAGTAACCTATCACTTGAGTTTGTGTGTGTATTCATACATACCGATCTGTATGCATACACATATTTAGACACACACACAGATAGATCTATGAATATAATATATGGAGAACTTGTAATGTGTATGTGCATTAAATTTTACAAATTAGACATACACACTCAGTTTTATTTTTTGCTTACGCTTAAAATGGCATGTTCAAATTTCTGTTTACACAGAAATTCTCTTTATACCCCATCCCTCAGTTATTTCAGTCCCCCAGATCTCTGTGATTACTTCTTATGGCCTAGTTGGTTTTAGAACTTTTTGCACTTCATGGAGTCTTCTGAAGAGAGAAGCCTTCTGAAACAAAGAAATAGGCTCTTGCCCATGGGGAGGAGGTGGACCTGAGCAGCATTCACACTTTGCGATACACTTGACTTTTGCAGGGCAATAAAAAACTGGAGGTGCTTTCTCGAATTGAGACTTCCCTTTTTCAGCTGCAAGTTGAAGTACATCCTGAAGTGTCTCACAGGCCTGGCTATGCATCCATTCAGGGCCGTGTTAGCTGGTAGAGATCAGGCACCTATGGAGATACAGACAACAATTCGGGAAGTTATGAGAAGCAATACAATACCCACCCTGAGGTACAGCTCTCTATTTTACAGTTAATCATCCCATCATCACTAAATAAAGGGGAGAGGGGAAAATGCTGATGGTGTTGCTAGGACAGTTAAAGGAGTGCCTTAACACTCCACAAACTCAGCTTTGGGATGTGATGAGCAAACAACAATACAAAATACAAAAGAGAAAAACCATCTATGTTGCTCAGATAGGAAGAAATTAAGTATTTAAAGCCTGGGAACCAATTTCAAAGGACAGGGATGGTAGTGTTCCTGGCCTTCCTCTCCTCTAATCATTTAGGACTATTCATTCAAAACGGGTACATGAACCCACCCAGGCAACTAGAGTTGCTCTACCTCAGTCAGAGTTTCTGTTTCAGGGTCTTTACACCAAAGGGGATACAATAATCTCCATGCAGTGTAAAAAAACCCAACCAAACCCCAAACAAACAAGAAAGAACAACTCTGAGGAGACACTAACTAGAGCAAACAAGCAATACTTCAAGGACCCTGCTCTGACATTCTAGTTTGCTTACTTTCAGTGAGAGCAGAATGAACTATCAGACCTCTGTAAGACAGAACAGCTGCAAAACACAGGCACAAATGAGCAGCACATCAGCACATACAGACTGACAGCAGGGTTTAATACACATAGAATACAAGCTTATTTCCAGGAGAAAAAGCATGTAACACTGCCATGCTGTGGCATTTGAGACTTTAGGAGGAAGAACAGAAGCAAATTAGTGGGATACATCACAATCTTCACTTTAGGCTTCCGTTTGAAGATTTGGTTAGATTATTTTATTATTCTAAGAAGTCGCTCATTTAATTACAGATATAATTCCTCTGTTTTCTGAGTACTACTCCCAGCCCAGCTGTCTTCCCTCCATGTTCTTGGTTCAAGGCACATAATGTTATAGTGCCAAAATCATTTTGACAACTTGAAGGGAAAGAGCCAAACCAAGACCTTGAAACTTTCACTGCTGCTAAACAGTGTATTGCCAGAAAGGCCTGGAAATGGGTGTGTAGTGAAGCCAAAAAGGGCCATGATTTGGGTACTTTCAGCAATAATTTTCTTCCTTTGTCCTACAAACAAAATACAGCATTTTTTTTCCCAGCCACTTAAGTATTTGTTCTTAGAACAACTACAAAAATGAATTTATTTCCAAGGTGAGTGTTCCAAAAAGATGAAACCTGCTACAGGATCATAGGATAATTCAGGTTGGAAGGGACCTCAGGAAGTCACCTGGTCCAACTTCCTGCTCAAAGCAGGGTCAGCTACGAGGTCAGACCAGGTTACTCAGGTCTTATCCTGGCTGGTCTTGAAAACCTCCAAGGATGGAGGCTATATAATTTCCATTTCCACCACCTGTGAGGAGACAGTTACACAACAGTGGATTGTAAGCTTTTGCATTTTACTGCAGAGAAATAACATTAATTAGGATGTAAAGTATCATAGAAGACTGTCTGAAACAAGGGTTAATCAATTTGTAGGTTTCAACCAGTACTAACTTGGGGCAAGTTAACTCCTCTCTTCCTTATTCCATTTGTTTGGTGCTGGTCCAACCTCCCCCCAACACTCTTAGTCATAGAATTAGACATTTAATCTGTGTTAAAGATGCCTTTGGGAGGCTCTTACCTTCATTCAGATGAACTCTGATGACCTCATCAGGATTTTTTCTGCAAGTTCTTTGGTTGTTCTTGAACCAAAAATGACTTTTTGTCTGATTAGAAGAATGTAACGGTGAAATCAAACTTGGCAGCAGGAACTCAGGCAGCCACAGGCAAACATTAAAATGGCAGGATGTCGTAGGAGATAAATTGGCTTAAAGATCGATTTATGAAGTAGAGTCTAACGACCCTCAAGAGATGGCTGAGATTTTGCCAAAAACCTTTGAGTAGCAAGCTATTTGGAAGGTACATTTTCCAATCAGAGCTTAAAAATCAGACAGGAAACTTCCGCTAGGGACTGTCAGATATTCAGCTGAGTGCACAGCTGCTCAGCATTAGCAAATACAAGGAATACTTTATAGGCTGTGTTAAGGTATCATGCTACAAACTGTTTCCACAAGTGCTGAGCATGCATTAAAAGTCATCACAGGTACCAGAATCTACTGCTGATTCTGAGCAGTAGCACTTGTGAAAGCTGACTAAAAGCAACGATGAGAATATCCCCAGAACTTTCTGGGTGAAAGAAGCTGAGGTGCTGGGGAAGATAGTGACCTCAGGAATGCAAAAATAACTGGGAGTGTAGAACTGGCTCTGAGCAGGAGCTTTGGAGACTTCAAGAATTTGTTTTATAGGTCAGTACAGTTTTAAAAATTCAGTGCTTAGCTGTTGATCACTGGTTTGTTTAGACAATGACTTACATAGGCTTCATTATCTTCTCCATACCACTCAGTACAGAAATTTTGCACTCTCTGCATAGACACTGTGAGTCAAATTAGTTATGCTTAAATTGACAGATGCAAAATTTGGTCTCAACACCTGTCTTTGAAAGAAAATAAATATTGCCCACTGCAGACAGTATATCCGGCTCCATGACCAACACAGTACTCAAAGCGAGCTATACAGATAGTCAACATGACGCAAAGACAGACATATATCTGTGACAGAGGTGGAGAGACAAATGCCAAAACTGACTTAATTAAATACGTATCTGAATACCTCTTTCTGGAACAATGTATGTATGGATTCTGGATATCTAATTTCAAAAGCAGTATTTGCAGCTCAGGCTTCTTATGCCAAAGACCTGACAATGCAGCCGTGTTCCTTATACATGGAAGATAAATATCCCAGTTTGCAAATTAGCAGGTCATCTTCTATTCAGTTTAAGTATTATCAAATACATCTTCAGATTAAAAAAAACAGAAGAATATAGAGGGGAAACTACAAGCGTAGTTTCCTTATATATGGAACCCGCTCTAAGCAAGAGAAATTTCATTAAGAACAAATTAGGAATGGAAACAGGGCCCAGAACGTAAGTGCTGTCTGGTAATCATTTTGTCTGAATACATACTCTATAACAGCTTTTCTTCGCATTCACTGGGGACTCTGATAATGAAACTGGAGCTTAAACACATTCCTTTATTTTTCTGCAAGGAAGTATTTCTGTTCCTTCAATCCAGGAATTCTGATCCCTACACCTCCGCACAAAAGCCCTCCCATCTTTTTACTCCCATCTACTGTACAGCTGCTGTGGAAACTCCTGAATGGAAAACAGTGAGCAAAAACTGGAAAAACAGTGAGTGTGCAACAAAGCTGGACTGTTACTCCACCTGAAAGAAATGACAGGATTGTGTTCCAATGTGGCTATGTGTTCCAGTGGCTATTCTACCAGTGGCCATGAATCTACTAGGAGAGAGATTAAATGGAAAAGTCTAGAAGAGCAAAATTAATTTGGCACACATTTTTGATAAGCAGTACCACTCTTTGTGTTATTTTGTCTTTGTTTCCCCTGTACAACTTTTCATCACTGCAGCTCTGCTGGCTCTCTTGCGTCAATGCAAAAAAAGAACAGAGCACTGTCGCCTCTAGAAATTTTGGTTCTTCCTTCTAATACATCTCTTGTTTTCCATCTCTTCTTATTTAGTACTTCAATTGTAGTATGATTTTTTGGAATGAAAGGTGGTACATAAAAGGTCATGCACTGCATAAAAGCCACATTGTAAGGCATCTGTACCGGTTCCAGATTCAATTGTAAAAGTCACTGTTGTTCTTACCATGCTCCCACAGAGGGAAGCCCCACATATACAGCTTCCCAGGCTGGGGTATATGTCTGAACGGTTCACAATTACTGTCCCCCCTCCAACCACTGAGACTACAGCAATTGTTTTACAGGTGGGTCCACTGCATGACAAAGTCACTTCTGGGTTAAATGCTAACCCAGGCCACAGTCCAGACCATTTAACACAGCTAATCACATAATAGGTTTCAAATTAAGGACAGGAGATTCGAGGTGAGGAATCCTAGTACTTGCATTGATCACTCAGTCAACACGTATGAGACTTGCAGAACAAAGAAGTCCAGCTAGTCCTCATTTTAATTTGAACATATATAGTCCTTGATTCCTCTCACGTTAAGTAGTTCTCTTCTGGATGTCCCATGGAATATATGTAGTTAACCAATCTTTTCACAGATGGTTTAATACAGCTGCACAGAGAGATATGAAGGCAATAAAACACAGTGGGATACCACATTGAGAACAAAGCTATAAGAGGATATTGGCAATTGTTATTACCTAATATTTGCTGATTAAAACTTCATGGCCTAGTTGACAGAACTAGATTGTCAAAAAGAAAGAGAACAGAAACATCTTAGAATAAGAGACAACAAAATCTGTCAGAAGAGTTAAAAACAGACAACATGCACATCCAAGCCAATGAATAGTTATTGACAAAGCACTGTTTGCATGCATGTTAGCAGTCACAGAGATCAAATCCTGGCCTTTGTAAGTAACCAACCTGTTGCTGCCCTTCACTTCATCCAGCTCCTTCTGCAGTCTGGCACTCTTCTCCTCCTCCTCCTGAAGCTTCCTCTTTACCACACGGAGCTCCTGCTGGGCTTCACACTTAATATCATTGGCTACAACCACTGCAGTCTGCAGATCAGCTTGAAAACGCCTCCACTCTTCTGTATCTTCCTACAAAGAGCAATTAGAACCCCAAACTGCTGTAAGAATGAACCTACTTGAGCTGAGCACTTAGTTATGGATCTCTCAGTGATGACAAGCAACCAGGATTTCACCACAATTTCAAGATGATGCCGAGGTCAAACTAAATACTTGCCTCTCTACACAGTACCGACAAGATTGCCAAAAAAGAAACTGATGCTAAGCTCTCCACTCCAATACAAAAAGTACAATCAAAGTTCTTCCTACAGCTACTGATCATTCAGATCATTCAGATACTACTACAAGCACTGTTGCGAAAAGAGCTCACTGCTACTGATGATTCACAAAGCAGGAACGGCTGTTCCAAAGTAGCAGAAGTTCATCGATACAAAAAGCAAAAGTAATTTGCAAAGGATGTATTATATTTTTCCTTCACAGGCAAAGAAACAGCTAGGAATGAGTAAAGAGAATGAAAGGATGTAGAAAGAACTTTCTACAATTGTTCTAGAAAAATACAATGCTTCTCTCAAATCCAGTAAAAGCTCAGCTTAGCTTTGTCATGGAGTCTAAGCCTTACCTTCATTTGCTTAGTCAGAGCCTTCAGCTGCCTCTCTGTATCTTGTTTTTGTTCTTCCAGCTTCACTGCTTTACCTAGGAACAGTAAAAAAGGGAAAAGATTATTAAACACATAAGGGCAAGGGTGAAAGGTGAAAATGGGAGGGCACAGCAGCCTATTTGGTTTTCCTTATAGTAATGCCACCAAACAGACTAAACTGAAATTAAGGTACTCTGTTAATGGATCAGGAATGGAATCAACAGTAGATTTGTTACTCAAACATCTCTGAAATAGGTCATTATTTTGATGCATTAAACCAGACTTTTAAATTTACAGAATCACATGTGCAGGATCACTTATTCAGTACACACACCCTGGAGCACTGGATGTAACACTGGTAAGCGACATGTGCCACTCATTCCACCAGGTGGCAGCTCCCCTTCCACACCGCGACAGCAACCTTGACTGCACAGCTCTTATTAGTGCCTTTCCCTAAAAGCTCTTTAAAAGGCCAACAACCCCAGTTTCTAGAATGGGCAATACATCCTTCGCTGAAGAATGAGGCTTGGAGACTGTCTCTAATATTATTTCTATAGCACTAACTGTTAAAATAGTGACTTTTGTGCATGAACAGAAAGGACTGGCCAAAACTGGAATATTTTTGAAGTGAGGCTCTTGTCACACATATCAAGACATGCCTCCTCCTCCCTGTTGCAGCCATAACTGAGCCTCCAGAATAAGTCCCCTTAAATCCTTTTTTCAGCTCCACCTACTTTCTAGGTCACTGATGAGCTGGTTATTGTGAAGTTTTATAGCACGATGTTGTTCCACCTGGTCCTCCAACTCGAAAATGGTCTCTTTCAGGTTTTTTATATCTGCTTCATTCTCTGATGTTTTTTCCTGCAGCTTCTGGCTGGTTCTGCTCAGTTGCTCAGCCTGCCGGTCACACACCTCCTTCAGCTGACCACATTCATTCTCAGCCTGGAATGGAGGAAAGCAAGCTGCAAGTCTGTCTTTATTTCTTAACAGATACCACTCATTAGAGATTTTACTGGGCATCTCATGGACTCTAAGAATTGAACTGTGTTCTAAGCATGGTATAACCTGAGTTTCAACGCTAATGAGACAGTTTCAGGAAACACAGATGAGCTATGAATGTCAGTTTTCTTTCCTAGTCATGAAGATCATAAAATAAGATGCTAGAAAGGAAATTAAATTTTCTATAGGATGACCATAATCCCAAACCAATCTCTGCAGGTAATGAACAGAGAGGAATGATATTCCTGGAAAGCTCCACGTCTATTCATGTATTATGTTATGAGAGTGATATCGCTGCCTTAGGGCCAAGATGACGATCAGTTTGTCCACATTAACAATTTTACTGCTTCTACCATGTGCATTTTCAATGTATTGTGAAAACATACGTAGTAGAGCTAGCTACTGCAGATAAGTATATTTTCTGGATATAGGACATCTGGAATCACTGAAGGGGGAATCTGCTGCACTTCAGTTTGTTGGCTCAGGCCCACAGATCTATGCTTCCAGGTTTGGGGGAGACCTCTGAGTATCCACAAGTTATGGAAAAGCAAGGTGTAGGCTGCCAATTCAGTGAGTAGCACTGGCACAGCCTGACTGAAGGGCAGCCTTACAGAAGCCTGTGGTCTTGTTTGGGTGTCACAAATAGCCAATGATTCAAAACAGCTTAATTTGAGGGAAAGGAAGAGTAAAAAGGAGGAAATCTGTGGTTTCAAAACCAAGCAATAAAAGTTTGGTACAGAGTCTGAGCACTCAGCAGTTTTTCATTTATTCTTCATAAACTGCAGCTCTAGCAAGCACTTGGGAGCTTCCTCTACTAACTCCATTTGCTGTGGTCACCCATTTAAGCTGAAAGGACATCTGGATCTTCTACATCACTCAAATCATGGAGGTGCTTTTTGGCAACACTCTCCTCCTCTGCAACTAGCCAATTTTGCCATTCTTCTCATGATCCCTTCCCATACAGGAAAGGCTGCACACACTGACTATCGCTCTTTCTGCAGTGGTGGGACATAATCACTGGCTTGTGCTTTATTAACACTTGTTCTATGATGCCTCACATTGCAGCTCTCTTCTGAACATCCAGGATCACACAGAAAATAGAAACAGTAATTGACTTAAGCTTGCTTGGAGACTACCAAACAAGGCAGAGAAAAATTTTTCTAAAAGGTATCAATTTTTTTGCCATTACTTTACCTATCCCAAAACAGATTACTTCTCAGTTTTGTAAAAATATTTTAGTTTTATGAAAGGAATCTCATCTGGAGCTTGACCATGCGTCATTAGTCATGTTGCTGTAAATATCAGCTTCTCTGAGCATTAGCGCATGTCCTTGTGTTCTCATGACCAACGACACCTATAGTTCACCATTAATTAGTCATGATTAATTATTCAAAATATAATATTCGCTGCTAATTACTCATGCCCTTCTCTATCTGGATTACCGAGTGATTTTCAGTAATACTTGTTCACATAATATCAAAGTAATTTTCTATTGACCTGTTCTCTTGCTCCAGTTTTGATAAACACAATTCTATTTACCAAAATAGTAAATACTGCAGAAGATATTAGGAGAAAATAGTTTTGAATTTATAAACACAGCTATGCTAACAGTTATTCATGGGAAAATATGTATATAGCAGCAGAAACAGACACAATATCACATGACCCCAGCTTCCATTCAAAACTAAATTAATGCAATTTAAATCTTGGAAACTTATATTCAATGGCTCAATAACAATCTAAAGACCAACAATTATCTATTTATGGAAGGACAGATAAACAACCATTATATTTTACAGCTGTTACTATTTTACCTTCGACAGCAGACCCTGAATGTGCTTCAGTTCACTGTTTGCCTTCAGCAGCTCTTGTTTAAGCTCAGTGCAAGATGCTTCTAGCTGATCCTTTTCTGCATGGGCTACTTTCAGCATCTCTTGCACCTCAGAGTTGTCAGTAGTACATCCCATCGCATTGATTTCTGCGGCCTTTTGTTTCTCACTCTCTAACTGAGTTTTGAGAGAGCCATTCTCAATTTTTAGACCTTCTAGGGCAATTTTACAGTCCTCCAGAGTTTTTGTCACTGTGCTGTTGCTCTGCTGTTCCACTTCCAGAAGTTTAAGCAGCTTCTCATTTTCTTCTCTCAGGCTTTTAATCACTTGCTGGGCATCTTGATGCTCCCTTTCTAAGCTTCGTAGGCTGCTGGTTAACTGTTGCTGAATGTTGAGCAATTTCTCTCTTTCAAATTGTGCTTTTTCAAGAACTTCTGCACATTTCTGTTCCAGTTCAAGGACCTTCCCCTCCTGAGCTCTGCCTTCTTCATTCTTGGATCGCTCTTGGAGGAGAGTCATTAGCTTTTCATTTTCTTGGCTTAGCTGTTCTGCTCTCTCTCTGTGTTGGCGAAAGGAAGTCTCCAGGAGAGTTTTCTCTTCCACTAGCTTCTCATTTTCTGCTGTCAGCTCCTGCACCATTTGCTGTTGATCCGACAGCTCCTGCAAAGTGGCTTGCAATTCTTCTGCTGTGCTATGGTGATTCTCCTCCATTTTTTGTATTCTCTCTGTAAGAGATGCAACAGAAAGGTCACTAATATTGTTCGGAGAACTTCCTGTAGTGGAGCATTTGGAACCTTTGAAATGGTTGCTGTTGGAGGACGTTGGCCTGGAAGGTACATCTGCTATATGTTCAAAATCAGACGCATCAGGTGACAAGGAAGCTTTAGTTACATCACTGCTGGAAGAACCTGAATTGCGCAGTGCGCCCCCATTCACATGCTGCCTGTGCTCATCCATTTCACCTCTCAAGACATTTTTTGATGGGCTTCCAAAACTGGATTCTTGGGTAGTTGGGGTTGGGAGGCTGCTGTCACCTCCACTGCTTGTTGTTGTGTCTGACAGAGGAGAGTTCTCTAGATAAAGCAATTTCTCTTTCAAAACACGATTTTCTTCTCCCAGGCTAGCAAGCTCTTTTTGAAAAGTCCTGTTTTTTTCCTGAAGGGTCCGTATTAATGGATCTATGTCAACAGGTGATACTGTTTCTAAATTTTGGTTGGAAGCACCCATTCCTTCAGTGTTAAGTGACCCTTTCTCTTTGCATTTCTTCAATTCACAACGGAGTTTGGTAATTTCAGAATCTTTTGTCTTTGCTTCTGCCAGGAGTTCTTTAACCTGAGATTCCAGAACAGCCTTGTCACCAGTTTCATTCTCTTGCTTGGACTTGCTAGTGGGGCGCACATGTTTGGTAGGAGTCACTGTACCAGAGGAGGTGGCGCTGGGTTGTGTCTTCCTAGCATTGGCTTGGCCACGCAATACAGCTCTCTCTCTGGATACAGATGATGATATTTCCCGGGGTGCTGGAATCCCTGTGCGCTTTGCAGCTGAAACTGTTGCTTGAAGAGAAAGAGATGAGGCAAATTGAGTTAGTTCATAAAGAAAACAAGTCACACGACAACGCTAGAGCCTAGAGCAGTCTTGGTAAAAAAACCCTGAGTGTTTGAATAGGTTCAGTCATGACTGAGTGTGCGGATTCATGTTTCAAAGGCTTGTATTATTTTGCATTTCTTCCTCTCCCACCCCCTGCAAAGGAACACAGTCTGCTGAACTTTTTCCCAGTGTAATAATATGTAGATGCCGCAATACATGAACTGCAACCCTCAATACCAGGATATTAATTAACTGAAAATAAAAATTCTTTACGCTACTTTGTGAAATGCTGAATTTAAACCTATTCATTTCAGGGGAAAAGTTCAGTAACTTAAGAAAAGATACCATCTTTGAAAAAAATTTATTTTTATCACACATGAGTATTTTATCACACGTAAACTAATGTATTTGCATTATGCTCAGTTTATGCAGATCACCATAAAAAAGGCCTGAAACATTTATGCTGACTGCAGGTTCAGTGAAATACAAAACTCTTGGCACTTCTAACACTAAGACAATTGTGTTGCTGCAGCTTCTAGCAGAGACGGACAAGAGATTTTTCATGTTATAAATTCCCATCCTCTTACGGAGGAAGAACAAAAGGAGGTTAGAAAGTTGATGCTGTTCTGTTTGGTGGTTGGTTTCTTTTCCCCCCCCCCCCCCCCC